TTCCAAGAATATGCAATAACCCCACTCACCAACCTTGCTAAATGTAGGTTTCAGTGAGCAGATATAAACTGCTGTTAAAAGCAAATGGTACCATTGAAACAGTGGCAGTGGTATAAAACAGTTCCCTAACTATGCCTTAGAGTCCCTTTGCAGGCTTCATACACTATTTAGCCTCGCTTTGAATAGTATGAAGGAAAAGCTAAGCCCAATTTATGTCCAAATTATACATTTTAAATATAAGGCTCCAAATTAACGAGGTTCTAAAGTACCTTTGAATATAGTCCTGCAGTTAGGCATCTATGCTACTTCTTAACCACTGTTCATTTCCAAACACCAATTGGAAATGCTGCTTTTCCCTTTCATGGGTAATCCCAGGATATAATTCTGCAGTGGCAGGGAGATTAGTCGCCCAGGTCCACAGCCCAGGGGCCACAAAACTCTGAGTGGCTCTAGGAGAGATACTTAAAACCACTGGTTTGAGATCTGGAGTATTTCAGGGGCCAGCGGGGAAGGCAAATGAAACCAACCAAGATGGTGTGGGTGGAGTGCCCACAGTCTGCAAGGGCGTCAAGACTCTGCTGTAACTTTTTTTTTTTACAAAGTTTATTTATTTTTTTAATTTTATTTATTGATTGATTGATTTTTGGCTGCGTTGGGTCTTCATTGCTTTGCATGGGCTTTCTCTAGTTGCGGTGAGTGGGGGCTATTCCTCGTTGCGGTGTGCAGACTTCTCATTGTCATGGCTTCTCTTGTTGCGGAGCACGGGCTCTCGGCACGCGGGCTTCAGTAGTTCCAGCACGTGGGCTCAGTAGTTGTGGCTCGCAGGCTCTAGAGCACAGGCTCAGTAGTTGTGGTGCACGGGCTTAGTTGCTCCGAGGCATGTGGGATCTTCCCAGGCCAGGGCTCGAACCCGTGTCCCCTGCATTGGCAGGTGGATTCTTAACCACTGTGGCACCAGGGAAGTCCCTGCTGTAACTTATTAACTGAAGAGCCTCTTAGCCCAGCCCAGTCTCCAGACAGTTTGAGTCCAGGGTGATAATGACTGCAGGGCGAGAGAGGGAGATGGGAAAGGGAGGTGAATAAGCACTGGGCCAGTTTTCATTTTGTTTGCGCTCTGTCCTGTTCTAGTGTCCTTCAGTTTCATAACAGGGGATGTCTGAGGGAGAGTCATTCACCATTTTTAGCTAAGTGAACCTAAGCCCAGGGGAACCTCTTGGGAGAGGCCCTGCCTTCCCTTCCCAGCCCTGCCGGCAGCTAACTCATCTTGTGTTTTTATCGGCAACACGGTTGGAGGATTATAAACAAGTTTAAATTCTCAAACAAGATCATTTAGTCCAAGTTCCCACCCCATCTAGACATCCCATCTCTGACAGAGACACACATCCTGTCTCTGGCTAAATGATTTCAGAGAAGGGAGAACATTACCTCAGGAGGCAACTGATTCCATCTTTTGAAAGTTGTCCCCTCTAATAAACCGAAATTTCCACCCCAAAGTCTACCCATTGAACGTATGTATGGAATAAACACCCTGGTGGGTATCGCTCCTCTGGTGTCCTGGTCACCACCATGGCTGCCCTCCTCTGAACGAGCTCCATTTGAAAATCCCCCTTTCAAAATGTCCCTCAGGACGGAACCTGACACTCCAGATGGGGCCCGAGTGCAGAGCAGATGAGGACTATTATTTTCTTCTATGATTGAACTTTTGGAAATTCAGTCCAAGATTGCAGGAGCTTTTTCGGCCACCACATCTAGATTCTAACTGCTTCCCATTTAACTTTGAGTCAAAACCACTGGGGCTTTTTCTCATGAGAACCGCTATTAAGCTCTATCTTCCTCTCCTATATGCATGATTTTTTTTCTTTTTTTTTGCTTAACCCAAGTGCAGTGTTTACTCAGCTTCAAAGTTTAAACCACCATTTATTGATAACCCCCTGTGTGCTCAGTGTTTTTCATATTACTGACGCCTCCTAGAATCCTGTAAGGGTGACATTACCTCTGTTTTACAGACGGTGCACTGAGGCTGGGAGAGGAATGCCCCAGCGATCCCACAGTCTGCATTCTCATTTCGGTCTGGAGCCTCATGCTGTAAAGCACTGCACATACCAGTTTTTTAAGATCTCTTTGAACCCTAATACAGACACCCATTGTGTTCACAGTCCTCAGTTTTGTGACATCCATAAAGTTAATTTGCCTTCTAGGTCTTTTGCATGGTTTCCCAAACTTGGGTGGTGGAGAGACTGCTTTGAAGCCGTGTTTTCCAGCCTGTAGGGCACAAAACCAATTTAGTGAGTCACAACTGGCATTTTAAAAAATGAAATAGAGTAGAAAAATACCAAAGCCCATGACATGTAGCAAGGGCAAATTTTGTTTCAGGAAATTCTTATTACATCAGCACAGGACAGGGACGTGTGTGTGGGGGTGCATATGCGTACACTGGGTCTTGATGTAAATTGTTTTTATGACTGTGGTTCATGGTCTAAATAGTTTGAACACTGCTCTAAAGGGAAAATGTTTTTCAGTCAACTTAGATTGTTTTCATTATAAGGCTGCAGCCTTAATTATGTATGCACATAAATCTGTTTATCAACTCATAGATCTAGTTCCTCTAAAATTTAATTAAGTAACTACAGAAAAGCCAATAAAACTCAAATCAACAACATCATTTTGGGAGGAAAACAGTTGACTGAGCCCAAATTGCTGCTGTCAGCGTAAGCGCAGCACAGACTTGACATCCGGGCTCCTTGAGTTCCGCATGCCCACCCTGCAGTGTCTAGTGCCCAGCAGCATGGTCTTTCCAGGCTTCTGAAGAGCTGTCATTCCTCACTTTGCACAGATGTATCATGAATTACATGTGCAGAATTGAGTTGTCTTAATTAGCCCATGTAGTTAGAGTGGTGCCACTTGGTACCAGTACAGTTGTAAACACACACACAGGCCCAGAAATGTGCAAATCTTGGTTAAGCAGCAGTCACCCAGCAATCTGTAGTACATGTTCATTTTTAAAAGATGATCATCACGGTGAAAACACAAGAATAAAACATTCTGTTAGAGAAAGCACGAACCTCCGAGGAGAAGCCTGCATATCCTGGTCCTGGCGTGCACCCGTAGTTTGAGACCCTGGTTGACACCATAGCAGCAAACTGCTCAGGATGGCCTGGGTCTCAGCACTTAGGTGGAGGCACGTTCAGCTTAGCCCCCAAACCAGACTATCATCCTGCCTGCAGTTCTTTTCCTTCTCGTTCCTAAGAATACTATGAACATTTCAGTCAGATGCCTTGTTGTTATAAAGTACACAGTGTATACCATTCTCTTGATGTAGCCAACCAAAACCCCCAAAAAAGAAACATGTTTGTTCAGCATGACTTGTTTTTGGCAACCCCAGCTTATTCTTTGTGATCACTGCTTCCTTACCTCAGTAATTGTAGTTGCTGTTCAGTCATTTGTTCTAGGATTTTGCTAAGGATCAGTGTCTATAATATTTCAGGATCCACATGTACGATTTTGCCCAGAGCTCTCCTCTGGCTCCTCAAACAGCTTGCAGGTGTGCCTGCAAAGTGTCTCCCTACTCTGGAGTGCAGTTCATGTGGCCTTAGGGCCTGGAAACCATTTAAGGCTTTGATGAGCCTACTGTACTTACCTGTCCTGGGCTGCAGTTCCCGCTTTACCTTTTCTTTACCTTTCCCATTTAAGAGTCACTCGCCCAAAGAGAGAAGCCAGAGGCAGCTGAAACGTGAGTGGTTCCGCCTTCTTCCTGACCTCTGTCTTCTTCCTGCCATCTGGAAGCCCAGCAGGGGCTCTATGCCTGAGTCGTTCTGCCTCTTCCAGTCTCTGAGTAATACCCTTCTTGTTTCGGTACCTCCTGAAACCTACTTTCCAAAGGTCTAAGATACAAGTCCGGCTGTCTGCCTGGTGTTCTTTTCCTTAGTGATTTATAAATTATAAGATGGCTTAGATCCTTTCCCCCCAAATTCTCCTGATTTCCATTTTATTTGTATTTCTCTTAGATCAGACTTAAGTTCAGAGTAGAGATTCCTTTCATTACTTCCTCAATGTTCTTTATTTTCCTTTATTTAAAACAAGTATAGTAGAGTGTATTCGTTGTGGGGAAAATGAGAAAATACAGAAAAACAGAGGGAAAAATTCTTTAAGTGAAGAAAAAACCTACCACCAGGAGATAATGGCTTTTAACATTTTAGCCCCTTTTTGTTTTTAGACTTTTTCCTGCTATATTCATATGTAGAAATATATACACATTTAAGGAAAAATAGGATTTATTATATTTTCATTCTCATTATATTCATTTATTAGCTCTCCTAATCTCGGTGATACCTATGGGGCCATGCCTGTTGTCCTATGTAAAACTGTAAATTCATTTAAAGTAATTCCCTGTGTGCTATCTATAATCTATACCTGGGCCGTTGTGCTTGTGTGGCGAAAGCTGAGCACAAAGCGCTCAACACTTTTGCATGGAGTGGGTGTGTCCTCCTCGACAGGCATCCTGGCCCGGAGATGCTTCTTTCCCAGGCTGGCTTGGCATCTGGCTACGGGAGGAGTGAGCAGGAAGCCTGGGTCAGAGCCACAGGATTAGCTGGGGGCTTCCCCTGCCCACCGTATAGGGGTTCCAGTCTAGCTGGGGAGAGTCAGCAGTACCCGGCAGAGAGGGCTCCATTAGGTGGCACAGCGTAGTTACTGAAGCCAGTGTTATTATAATCTCGGTATCTTCACGTTATCCTAGACTTTATGATGGTTGGAGGAGACGGTCCGATAGAGGCAGGACCCGCTATCCTCACAGCCTCAGATGGTTGAGTCTGAGAAAGGGAGAAGGTCATCTACTGAAAGAGTTGTAGGGCTGCTAACCTTGAGTGGGGAAGTGTGGGGAAAGGTCATTAACCTCTCATGGGGAGGCAGCCCAAATAGAGGCAAAAAGAAAATCTGAGGCAAGGGGACTTGGGTTCTTTTCGGGCATCACGGGTATTACTCTATCTCTTTTCTTCCAACAGATCCACAGACCAGCATGGCTGCCACTGCCGCTGTCAGTCCCAGTGACTACCTGCAGCCTGCCGCCTCCACCACCCAGGCGAGTGAGCAGTGGGCTCTGAGGGTTGGGGGCTGCATCAGCCTGGAAGGACTCACTGAAGCTGACATGAGACCGCATCTGAGCTCTGCCCTGGCTAACTATAACTCCCCGAGGCAATGAGACCAGAAAGGGTTCAGTTTTCCACTTTTTCTGAACTAAGAAACTAGGGCCACTCATCTAAGGTGCCACAGTTGAGTCAAGGGGAAAAGCAGGATGAAACTCAAGTCCTTTCCTCCAGACCCCACTGGCCATAAAAGGAAAACAGAGACTGTGTCCCCGCACCCTGGAGGCTCTTTCCTTGTAGCTTCAAAAGAACAGCCCTCCTTGATCAAAAAAGTCATGTCCCAAGCACTGGAAAACACTCTTCCAAAGGGTTTATTCCTCCTGTCCCCCTCCCTTTCTTTTTCCCTCCCTCCCTTCCTCAGTCCTTCCTCACTTGATGACTCAGTAAGGTGCGCTAACGGAGCTCCATCTATAAGCTGAGGGTGATTCCGTGTCCTCATTAGACACTAATAGACCAGTAGGGAGTAAGCGGTCAGCCCATGCTGTTAGTTCACCCTGTCAAGGGGTGCTTCTGGGGAGTTCCTTCCTGAGAAAGACATTTCTCACCCTTTCTCCCTTAATTTCTCAATGGAGAAACCAGTGGGGAAGGGGAGATGGGCCACTGTCCGGAGAGGATGCTGGCTCCCTGCCCGCCGGTGGGGGGGAGCCTGCGAAAAGGAGAGGATCTTAAAGGGTGGGGCGGCTGGGCAGCAGGCCTCCTGTCTCACTCCTTTTCTCCACGTGGTGTCTTGCAGGACTCGCAGCCATCTCCCTTAGCCCTGCTTGCTGCAACATGTAGCAAAATTGGCCCTCCAGCTGTTGAAGCTGCAGTGACGCCTCCTGCTCCCCCGCAACCCGCACCTCGGAAACTCGTCCCTATCAAACCTGCCCCTCTCCCTCTCAGTCCCGGCAAGAATAGCTTTGGAATCTTGTCCTCCAAAGGAAACATACTTCAGATTCAGGGGTCACAGCTGAGCGCGTCCTATCCTGGTGGGCAGCTGGTGTTCGCTATCCAGAACCCAACCATGATCAACAAAGGGACCCGATCGAATGCCAGTATCCAGTACCAGACGGTCCCTCAGATTCAGGCAAGCAATTCTCAGACCATCCAGGTACAGCCCAATCTCACCAACCAGATCCAGATCATCCCTGGCACCAACCAAGCCATCATCACCCCCTCACCATCCAGTCACAAGCCTGTCCCCATCAAGCCGGCCCCTGTCCAGAAGTCGAGTACGACCACCACTCCGGTGCAGAGCGCGGCCAATGTGGTGAAGCTGACAGGTGGAGGGGGCAATGTGACACTTACTCTGCCTGTCAACAACCTCGTGAACACCAGCGACACCGGGGCCCCCGCTCAGCTCCTCACGGAGAGCCCCCCGGCCCCGTTGTCTAAGACTAACAAGAAAGCCAGGAAGAAGAGTCTTCCTGCCTCCCAGCCCCCCGTGGCCGTGACCGAACAGGTGGAGACGGTGCTGATCGAGACCACGGCGGACAACATCATCCAGGCAGGAAACAACCTGCTCATCGTTCAGAGCCCTGGTGGGGGCCAGCCCGCTGTGGTCCAGCAGGTCCAGGTGGTGCCCCCCAAGGCCGAGCAGCAGCAGGTAGTGCAGATCCCCCAGCAGGCCCTGCGGGTGGTGCAGGCGGCATCCGCCACACTCCCCACCGTCCCCCAGAAGCCCTCCCAGAACTTTCAGATCCAGGCTGCTGAGCCGTCGCCTACTCAGGTACCACGCACACCCTCTGCACGCGCCTCCCTCTCCTCCTCAGCTCTAAACGGCTGATGCTCCACCCCCATTGGCTTGCTTTCCTAGATGATGCTGATGCATCTCCTGATCTGACCTGAGTGTTGGGAGTCAGTACTGTTTGGGGTGGGTAATAAGTGACCATTTCTGCCAGTTCACAGGGCCACGTACTGCTTATCTTTAGAAATCAGATGCGACATGCCTATGTACCTATATTTTGGAAACTTTATGAGAGTCTTTTGGCAGGGGGATGAGTAGCAGGCAGATACATACTTTTTAATAATAAAGTTTATTTTTTTATTCTAGAATTACATACTCCGAATGATAGCAAGAATGAAAAAATTCTAGTCAGAACCATAGAATTTGATGTAAAGTAAGAAAACCAATGAGAAAAATGCTGATCATTGTTAATGACAAAAAAAAAAAAACTAGGAAGAAGCACCCTAGCTTCATAGCAGGGACATTTAGGATAGATTCTTCTGGGATGCTAACTTGAACAGGAGCTTATTTTTGGCGTTCATTAAGGTGCTGTAATACTAAAATTTATTTGGCTGTGCAGGGCAGGTTTTATGCTTTGTGTAAGCCTAGTAAATGCCAGAGATTAGGCCCATGTTGAAGATGGAGAACCTGGAACTCAGAGAAGTTACCCAGTATCCAGCTCTCATGGAGCCCAAATGACAAAAGAGCCAGGATTCAACTAGATTTCTGACCTACGCTTTTGTCCTTACTCCACCCTGGCCCACCCTGGCTCTTGTGTATGGCAGGGGCTACACTTAAAATTGTACAAGGATTTTTTAAAATATAAAAACCAGCTCCTGCCATGGAGGAATTTACAATCCAGCTGTCTGTAGAGAGAACCGAGGCGTCAGAGTGAGTGACGGAAGTAGGGAGTTGTGTAGTCTCCCAGGTGGAGAAGTGCCCTTAAGTTTGAGCTGCGGACGTAACGGATGCACAGGAAATCTGAGGCCTGCCCTCAAGTGCCTCCTCTTTTCTGGCATATTGCATACTGCCAAGGGGTTTTCTATGAATCGTGTAATTTGTTACAACACGTGTGAGGCTCCCTTATCAGACCTACCTTAAAGGTGAAGAACTGAGGGATACCCGCTAACTCCTCTCTGCAGTGCCTCCCCTCCCTTCCCTGAGGTCCTGTGTCTGGAGACTGATGGAGGCAGGGCTTAAAACTAGGTCTTCCTAAGGAAAAAGGCATACGTATGCAGAAGGATTTAGCTACTGCATTACTTTGTGATGATGACATAGTTTTCTGGTGTCTGGAGGTGCTTTCTGTTACCCAATGGTAGATTTAGGCTGTTTCTAATCTTATCGCTAAATAAATTCCTAAAAGTGGGTCAAAGGATATGCACGTTTTAAAAAATGTATTATACCCTGTATCAGAGAAATTGGCAATCCTCAGCCCTGAGGTCAAATCTGGCCCATCTATCTGTTTTTGTAAATAAAGTGTAATTGGAACACAGGCATGCCCATTTGTGCGGCTTTTGCACCACAAAGCAGAGACCTCATGACCTGCATAGCCTAAAATATTTACTCTCTGCCCTTTACAGATAAAGTGTGTTGACCTCTGCTCTACATTGTGGGAAAGAAAATGTTCTAGTAACAGAAACTTCAGATATGCAGAAAATAGCAATGATTTGCAAAAGGGGCACATACCAGAAAATTGAGGATGAGATGTGTATTTATTAAGAGATAACATGAGGTTTGTTTGTTTGCTTTTAACTGAGAACCACAGTCCTAAATAACCCAAGGATCAAAAATAACCCCAATCAAAATCACAGTAGAATTTTTTTTTAAACAAGTGACTTTTCCCCCTGTATCATTTGAGTGTAAGTTGCCACCATGCCTCTGTTACTTCCAAATGTTTTATAGAAAGTGTGTAATTCTTATGCGCAAGGAGGACAACAGCACAACCTTCAGACATGGGCAGTTAGCAAGGAAACACACTGACGTCTAATTCAGAGACCCCATTCAGGTTGCTCATCACTTGCCGCAATGATTCCTTTGTGGCAAAAGGATCTCATCCAGTATCACACATTCCATTTAATTGTCATGTTGTCTTAGTCTGTTTTGACCTGGAATAGTTCCTCAGTCTTTACTTGATGTTCATGACCATGACACTTTAAAAGGACAGTTACTTTGTAGAGTGTTCCTCAGTTTAGGTTTGTGTGATGTTCCCTCATGGATAGATGCAAGTTGTACACTTTTTTTTGCAGAAATATCAAAGAAGTGATGCTGTGTTCTCACTGCATCCCAAAAGGAGGTGCATGGTTTCGATCTGTCTCAGTACTGGTGATGATTAAAGTGATATTTAGCGGGTTTCTGAACCTTAAAGTTACTTTTTTTCTCTTTGTAATGGATTAGTATTTTGTAAGGAGATACTTTCTGTGTAAATATCTCATTCCTTATCAGACTTTTGCCTGCTTATTTTAGTAGCTTTCACTGTGTTAGAGATTTTTTTTTTTTGGCCAGACTGCAAGGCATGTTGGATCTTAGTTCCCCGACCAGGGATTGAACCCCAGCCCCTTGCAGTGGAAGCACAGAGTCTTAACCACTGGACCACCAGGGAATTCCTGTAACTTATTCTAAAATAAAAAGTTAATTTTAAAAAATCTCTTATCATGGGACTTCCCTGGCGGTCCAGTGGTTAAGACGCTGCGCTTGCACCACAGGGGGCCTGGTTTTGATCCCTGGTTAGTGAACTAAGATCCAACATGCCTTGCTGTGCGGCCAAAAAAGTTACATTTACAGAAAGGTTGCAAAGGTAGTACAGAGTGTCTTATACCTCTCACCTGGTCCCCCACCACCACCTTGTTAAACATCTTACATACCAGGGTACACGTGTCAAAACTAAGAAACTGACATTAGCATGTTACTGTTCACTAAACTCCAGACTTGATTGGATGTCACCATCCAATCAATTAATCAGTTATGTCCTCTTTCTGCTCCAGGATCCCGTCCAAATACCACATTGCACTGTGGGCATGTCTCCCCAGGCCCCTCTGGTTGGATAGCTTCTTAGTCTTTGTTTTCCATGATCTTGACAGACTAGAGGCACATTGGTCAGGTATCCTATAGAATATCCCCCAGGCTGGATTATAGGTTTTTGGAAAGAATACCACGGAGGTGAAACGCCTCTTTTCATCACATTATATGTGGGGTACATGATGTCCATACAACATCTCTGATGATGTAACATCCCTGATGTTAACCATTGTCACTTGGTTAAGGTGGTGTCTGCCAGGTTTCTTCATTCATCAAAGCTGCTACTTTTCCCTTTCTCAATTCTTTGGAAGTAAGTTGCTAAGTCTCCCATTGTCAGGGGTGGGAGTGGGGGTGAGAATTAAGCTCTACATCCTGGAAGGGAAGGTATCTATATAATATTATTTGGAATTCTTCTATAAGGAAGATTTGTCTCTTTTCCATTTATTCATTTATTTATATAAATTTATTTATTTATTTATTTTTGGCTGTGTTGGGTCTTCGTTGCTGTGCACAGGCTTTCTCTGGTTGCGGCGAGCAGGGGCTACTCTTCATTGCGGTATGCGGGCTTCTCGTTGCAGAGCACGGGCTCTAGGCATGCGGGCTTTAGTAGTTGCAGCATGTGGGCTCAGTAGTTGTGGCTCGTGGGCTCTAGAGCGCAGGCTCAGGAGTTGTGGCGCACGGGCTTAGTTGCTCCATGGCACGTGGGATCTTCCCAGACCAGGGCTTGAACCCGTGTCCCCTGCCTTGGCAGGCGGATTCTTAACCACTGCGCCACCAGGGAGGTCCCACCATTTATTTTTTTATTCGATCATGTATTTATGTCAGTAGAGACTCATGTATATTTATTTTATACTTTGGAGTACAATTCAATACTGCGTTATTTATTTTGTTGCTCACATTGTTTCAACTCTGGCCATTTGGAGCTTTTTCTGGTTGGCTCTTGCATCTGTGTGACATACTCCCAGTCTTTTTTTTTTCTTATCAGCTTTTTTTAAAAATAAATTTATTTAAATTTTATTTATTTATTTTTGGCTGCATTGGGTCTTCGTTGCTGCACACGGGTTTTCTCTAGTTGATGAGAGCAGGGGCTACTCTTCGTTGCAGCGCACGTGCTTCTCATTGCGGTGGCTTCTCTTGTTTTGGAGCATGGGCTCTAGGTGTGTGGGCTTCAGTAGTTGTGGCACGCGGGCTCAGTAGTTGTGGCACACAGGTTTAGTTGCTCCACGGTTTGTGGGATCTTCCTGGACCAGGGGTCTAACCCGTGTCCCCTGCCTTGGCAGGCGCATTCTTAACCACTGTGTCACCAGGGAAGTCCCCTTTTCAGCTTTATTGAGGTATTCGCATACTGTGAAATTTACCCTTTTAAAGTGTACAACGCAGTGGGTGGGTTTTAGTATACTCATGGAGTTATGCAGCCATCACCACTATCTAGTTTTAGAACATTTTCATCACCTCAGAAAGACCCCTTTAGTGGTCACTCCTCATTTCCCCCTTGCCCCAAGCCCTGGCAACCACTAATCCATTTTCTTTTCTTTTCTTTTCTTTTTAAAATAAATTTATTTATTTATTTTTATTTTTGGCTGTGTTGGGTCTTCATTGCTGCACGTGGGCTTTCTCTAGTTGCAGCGAGCGGGGGCTACTCTTCATTGCGGTGCGCAGGCTTCTCATTGCGACGGCTTCTCTTGTTGCAGAGCATGGGCTCTAGGCACATGGGCTCCGTAGCTGTGGCGCTCTAAAGCGCAGGCTCAGCAGTGGTGGCACATGGGCTTAGTTGCTCCACGGCATGTGGGATCTTCCTGGACCAGGGCTCAAACCCGTGTCTCCTGCACTAGCAGGCAGATTCTTAACCAGTGCGCCACTAGGGAAGCCCTAATCCATTTTCTATCTCTATAGATTTGCCTATTCTGGACATTTCATGTAAATGGAATCTTACCATAGGTGATCTTTTGCAGCTAGCTTCTTTCACTTAGTACACCGTTTTCTGAGTTCATCCATGCTGTAGCAAGTGTCAGTACTTCATTCCTTGTATTTTCCCAGCCCCAGTCCTGGGATCAACCATTTGTCCTAGGAATCCTAGTTCCTTTTATTGGAGGATGTGATAACAGTTTTTTAAATTCTATCATTTTCTTCTCCATTTGTTTATTTATGTCAGTATGGATTCATAGGTTCCTGTTTTATTCACTGAGTTATAATCCATTAGTATTGTTATTTTGATGTTCAAATTATCCTATGTTTAGCCAGTGGGAGCCCCTCCAAGCTGGCTCTTGTGTTCTTTTCACATGTCACCACCATTCTTTGAGCATTTCCTTACTTTCTGGTATAAGAGGTGTTCCAAGGTCTTCTTGTACTTCCGCTGACCAGAGTCCTCGAATCAGCTATTTCTCAAGGAGCCCTGGTTTCTTTTAGTGGAACATGGGATTTAGAAGCTAAGAGATGGGTGCTAGGTGAGCTCATTGCTCCTGGAGTTTTGCTGCTTTCAGCCTTTCTCAGTGGACACAGTTAAGAAGTATATATAAATATACCTATACATATATCTGTAACACCAAGATAGATACAGAAATGCACACACATATATACATACACTTATATTTATATTTTTCTATTTATATTGAAACCTAAGAGTTTCCATCAATACCTCTAATCCCCATCCAGTACCACACGGTTCATTCTCGTTCTCAGGCTCTAATATGCATATTTTTAAAGGCTTTGGACACATATTCCCAGATTTCCCTCCAGCAAGCCTAGACCACTTCACACCCCTTGACGTAAGAACATGTGCCTATTTCCCTACTGTCTCAGCAACAGTGAGCATTATGTTTTATTGTTCCATCTTTGTTAGTATAAATTGGAGAAAGACAGTAGTCTCTCCACTAATTGTGCCTCCTAAAGGCTGTTTTCATTTCTTTGATGAGCACTCACAGCGCATCTTTTGTGGGGTCATCATTTACCTGCCATCTCGTTCTTCAATTCGGAGATTTGGCATTATATTTTTCCATGCTAAGTAAATTAAATGTTTTGTTTCAAATCAACAGTCGGCATTTGTCAGCTTAGTACAGGGATGCCATCAGCCCTTTTTGTTGAACATCAACAGTGGGTGAACGTAGGCCTGGGCTAGTTGGAGAAGACTTAGGTGGACAGAAAGGCACCCACTTCTCCCTTGGGCAGGGAGATGATGCTGCATTGAAAGGGGGCAGGAGGGCTTCCCTGGTGGCGCAGTGGGTGGGAGTCCACCTGCCAATGCAGGGGACACGACAAGAGTGTTATACCAGGGAATGGATGATATAAACATTCTTTAATGCAAAAAAAGGGTGGGGGCAGGAGCCAGGGCTCTCAGGGGGCATTGACTTTTTCTCTCTGGCCCCTCCCAGGTCTACATCCGTACACCTTCTGGTGAGGTACAGACGGTCCTTGTCCAGGATGGCCCCCCAGCAACAGCTGCGACCACCTCCACCACCACTTGTAGCAGCCCTCCATCCCGTGCTGCTCATCTGAGCGGGACCAGCAAAAAGCACTCGGCTGCGATTCTCCGGAAAGAGCGTCCCCTGCCAAAGATCGCCCCTGCCGGGAGCATCATCAGCCTGAACGCAGCCCAGCTGGCAGCGGCAGCCCAGGCCATGCAGACCATCAACATCAACGGTGTCCAGGTCCAGGGTGTGCCTGTCACCATCACCAATACTGGCGGTGAGGGAAGGCCCCTGGCCCCAGGCATGGGCAGCCTTGAGTTAAGGTTGGAAGGAAAGGAGGGAGCCTTTGGACTGGCTTGTGCTGCACTTCTCAGTTCAGTGGTAACATTTGGTGATATTTACGGTATGAAAGCAGCCTTGCACATAATCAAAGGAACATTGTAGGTACCTAGCACAAATGGTTCGTTGCATTCTTTAGCTGGGTGAAGGGCAATTTTCAAGGTAGTGGGAGCTCTCTGAATCTCCTCCCTTCCTCCTTGAATGAATTTCCAGCACTTTATGCATTTGGTTTAGTGGCCTGGGAGAAGCCCACCCACAGGCACTCCCCCTGCTTTGATGGCTTTATGCAAGTCCTAGAGGGCTTGACTTGTTCCAAAGCCTGTAGAACGGACTCTCCCTCTGTTAACAAAAATCCCTGGAGACTTCCCTGGGAGCAGAGTTGGTGTCTCACAAGGGCCTAAGGTTGGAGGAGATTCTGGAAAAACACTCCAAGACCCATGTGGGCAACGTCTGGAAGTGAATTTGGCCTATGTAGTATAGTGGTTCTGGGCATTGACTCTGAAGTTGACTGGGTTCCCATCCAGATTCTACAAGTTCTACATGTGTGGTCTTGAGCCTCAGTTTCTTCACCTTTAAAAGGGGGATGATAGCACCTATTTCATGGGGTTATGAAACTTAAGTGTATTAATACATTTAAGATCTCTAAAATGGTATCTGGCACATAGCAGGCTCTCAAAAATACTAGCTGCTATGACTGTCAACCTTACTATGTGCTGGAAGGAAGAAGGGGGTCAGGCTCCCTCTTCTGCCCCTTTGGGCTTCCTCACCCTGAACTCTGCTCCACTCCTCCCCACAGGGCAGCAGCAGCTGACAGTGCAGAATGTTTCTGGGAATAACCTGACCATCAGTGGGCTGAGCCCCACCCAGATCCAGCTGCAGATGGAACAAGCCCTGGCTGGAGAGGCCCAGCCTGGGGAGAAGCGGCGCCGCATGGCCTGCACGTGTCCCAACTGCAAGGATGGGGACAAGAGGTGATTTGAGGAGACGGGCCAGGTGGCCAGCCTGGCGTGTGTCCTGTTCCCCAAGCCCTCCCTGGGACACAGACAGAGAGGGGACCAGGTAGCGGCTCCATGCTCTCCGACCTGACCCCACATCCTCTCTCCATCCTGTCCCGCCCCCATCTCTCTACCTCCCCGCTGTCTCTGCTTCCCATTCCCTCCACCCCACCCTCAACCCAATTCCCAGGTCTGGAGAGCAGGGCAAGAAGAAGCACGTGTGCCACATCCCTGACTGCGGCAAGACTTTCCGTAAGACGTCCCTGCTGCGGGCTCACGTGCGCTTGCACACTGGCGAGCGGCCCTTTGTCTGCAACTGGTTCTTCTGTGGGAAGAGGTTCACACGGAGTGACGAGCTCCAGCGGCACGCCCGCACCCACACAGGTCTGCTCCCTCCCCTGCGGTGCCCTCCAGCCCCCCGCCCCCCCACTCCACACTTCAGCTCCCTGCCTCTCTCCCCACCCCCACTCCATTGTCCTCAGCGACATGGAGACTCCTGGCCTGGCCAAGGAACTGCGGCACTGAGCGAGGGCTACAGACTGTCTCCTCGGGGTGCAGGACTACCCGGAAAGTCTCGCAAGCCATTCCTTTATTGCAGTGTTTCCCAAAGTGAGGTCAGTTGCGTGGCACAGCCTTGATGGCTTCTGCCATAAGCTGCAGATGTGTTTAACGGTCAGTGGCATCTTGTGCAGGCACTGTACTACACATTCTACCCGTTAACTAATGTCATCCTCATAACGACTCCATGGGGACGGCACTTTGATTGTGCCCATTTTACTGAGGCATGGAGCGGGGGCTGGGTCACACAGCCAGTGACTAGTGGAGCTGGTTCAACCCAGGCCCTCTGGCTCCCAAGTTCACGCTCTTAGTCACTATCCCACATTGCCTTTCCTACTGTTATTTACCGAATGATTTTCCTTAAATCACTTCACTATTTTTACTTACTATTTTTCTCACTATTTTTACTCTTTTATGTCCAGTGCAGTATTATTTTTCACATCACTGGCTTGGGTTGATAGCTAAGTGTTTTAATGTGCTGGCAAACAAATACAAAACTATGAAGTAGAAAATCGTTCATGCACCTGCCACCCGAGATTGCCCTGGGTGTCTCCGGTGGTGCACAGCACATGCTTTGAGAACTGCCGCTCCGGCAGATGCCCCCAGTGAGCAGATGCCTGTCCTGGGCCTGGGGACACGAGGCCCAGAGCTCTGGCTCCTGGCCAGCGTGGCGGGGCAGGTCACGCCCACCCTCTGCAGGCTGCAGAGTAAATAGAACAGCAGCAGAGCCAGCCCGGGTGTGCGGCTCAGTCTGGCAGGTCAGAGGGGAGTGGGGTTTCCCTGTGAGGGGGCGGACTTTGAGCCGGGTTTAGTCAGAGGGACGAAGATCAGAAGAAAGTAGGTGACAGGCTACACGGGAAGCATCCTGGGTGCAGGTGCACAAGTATAGCGTTTGGCACAGCACAAGGAATGGAAACAAAGTAGACTGGAGGGTGATGGCGGGGAGGGGATGAGGACTGACAAAGGTTCCCATCAGGGGATCACGGGGAGCACTGTGTGAGCAGCAGGTAGGCCGGTGACACGGCTTCACAGGTGCCCTCACACCTCACGTGTGTGCCTCCTTTTCCGGGGCATGGCACTGTGAGTGACGGGCATCTCCTCTTCCCAGGGGACAAACGCTTCGAGTGTGCCCAGTGTCAGAAGCGCTTCATGAGGAGTGACCACCTCACCAAGCATTACAAGACCCACCTGGTCACGAAGAACTTGTAAGGCCAACTGAGGCGGGAGGCCTCGCAGATTGCAGACCCCTGCCTGTGTCCTGCCTGGGCCCCTGGAGGAAAGAAGGCCCACGGCTGCCCTGGGCCCGCCCTCTCCCGTCCCTCCTGTTCTGCGACTGTCCCCACAGGAAGGGACTCTACCGCCCCCATACTCACCTCCTTCTGAAGCCCCTTGGCTCCTCCCTGGCCCTCCCCTCTCACCACAAGCTCCCGGCCTGCCCAGACCGTGGACAGTGGCCGTGCCCAATGAGACGTTCTAAACCAGGACGAGTGGGAACCCTTATTTCCAAAGGAAAAACGTGAATTTCACTCCATCGAGGAGCAAAGTGAGCCCCCCCTCCCCCAAACACTGCCGGAGTCGCATCGTGCCATGCCCCTCCCTCTCCTGCACCTCCCTGGCCCCCTCAGCCACTGCGGGTGCCCCGGGGCCCTGCACGCAGGGCACCACTGGCATCCAGCTCCACCTCCGGAGAGGCTCCAGAGGCCGCCTCCACTCCACATTCCCCTGCCCCACCCCAGCTCTCCTCCAGCACATTCCAACTTTCTATTTAAAAAGTAAAGCTACCCACGGACTCCCTGATTCCCCTCTTTTTCTATGGGGAACGTTGCCTTATACTCTACTTCCGATGATGAACACTGTGTATTGTGTGTGCTTTAAAGAAGTTTTATTTAATTGCTCCCTTCTTCCTGTTCTTGTTACTCACCTCCCCCATGCCTGCTTTTAGTTTAGGGTTTTTGGGGGGCAATGATGAGCATATGAATTTTTTTCTCACTCTAGTAATTCACTTTTCTAAACGACACAGCATTTCAACTCGAATCTGGATTCAGGTAAAACACCTTCCCATCCTGAACCTCATCCCTCCCCCTCATCTCACCCACCCCAACCAGCCCAAGCCCTACTTGTGTACAGTGTATATTGTATAATAGACAATTGTGTCTACTACATGTTTAAAAACATATTGCTTGTTATTTTTGAGGCTTTTAAATTAAACAAAAATCCAACTTTATTTTTAGTTGTAACTGCTTGAGGTATGTTTTTGAATTAAGTGACAGATTTGTTATCCTTTATTAACAATGTACTTTGTTGGTCAGCGCTGGGCTGACAAAAATTTTTTCTTGCTAATAAATTTAGTTGCCTGAGGCAAAATCTGCAACTTGGCACTGCAGCTTCCTTTGTCTTTCCCCTCGGAGAGCTCCGAGAGGGGAGTCCTGAGGAGGGAGCCCTGGTCTCTCGGAGCTGTCCGCACTGGGACCAGGGCAGGACCTTGTCCTCCTGACCTTGACAGATCTAGGCCACAGCCCGAAAAGGGCTTCAGCCACAAGGACCTCCTGGCATTGGCACAAGCCCCCAGAGCACCTGGGGGGCTACTCCAGAGGGCAGGGCCTGGTGCAGGCGTTCCTGCTGTGTTCTCCCCTAAGCCAGTTTTGCCCAGATCAAAGCAGGCATACTCTGCCCAGAGACTCAAATGAACAGCAGTGCCTTCCTTACCAGCAAGTGAATTCCTCCACTCAACTCTCCAACCCCTGGAGCAGGGCTTTGGCCTCAGAGCCTGTTAGTAAGAAGCTTAGGAGAGAAATCCAAAGGGACCTTGCCTCAGTCACTTCCAGAAGGCTAAAGAGTCTGGAGAAAACACAGTTCCCCAAGGTCCCTTCCCAGGGTGGAGGGCCAGGCCAGAACCCAGCTCTACCCGAGAGAGAACCCTGGCCCCAGTTTCTGTTCTTCTACTGTCCCTCACCCCAGCACCGCAGGGAAGGCAGCAGGCTGATTTTGGTTTTAGCAAGTGCTGCAGATCTGAAATTTTGGTGGGGATTTTTGGGGGTGGGCAGGGGTGGGACAGGGCTCATTAGGAGATCAGGGGTTGGGATGGTAGGCAGACTGCGATGGGACCCAGCTCAGTACCTGTGTTTACACCTAGCAGGAGCCTGAAGAGCATCTGAGCTGAAGGAAGAGGCAAGTTGTTCTCAAGCATATAGAGAACAGTACGTGCTTTTCTTGTAACAACAATGCCTCTTAATCAGCCTCGAAAGGACACAGCCAGGGTGGCTGTTCTGTGCAAGAGTGGCAAGGCTCGTTTAGAGCTATCAGTCTCCTTAACTGTGTTTCCTTTGTCACCAGCGCCTGCATTTTTGCAAGCAAACAGCTTGTCCTTAGAGCCAGTGCACCCTCACATCAGCTGAAGAAATAAAAAGGAGATGGATCTCAGATCACAGGTCCTCTGCCCCCATCACTTCTTTATTAACAGGCAGGGAGTGCCGTCCCAAGCATACTTAAGCCCTTTGGGTGATACCAGACCAACCACTGTCTCTACCCTGACATGGAAGCCTCCTAACCAGCCCAGCAGCCCCGCTCTCATTGCTGCACTGGCGGGAGGAGGAAGGCATGAGGTGTATTTATCTACTCTCACGTGCAGATTGTGTGACTAGAAAACTGCCTTACTGTGTTCTTGATCGGAATTGGTGGGAGAAGGGAAATGTTAACAACTGACCTCTTTCTGCCACATGTTCCCCACCGGCTTTGCTCTCAGGCACAAAGAACTATCCTTTCCTGGGAACTGATTCCAAGTCATGTGCTTTATGCTTCAAGTGTGGAAACTGACCTGACTCCTTGGCATCCTTTGGAAATGAGGTGTCAGCCCTCAGCAGGCAGAACAGTGTGCTGGCACTCGGGATTTCCCTTCTCCAGTGAGACTCACGGGTTCAAAAGTTATGCCTGACCATCTCTGCCTCCCGTGGGATGCCTGAGTTAGAAAGGGAGCAGGAGGGCTTCCCTGGTGGCGCAGCGGTTGATAGTCTGCCTGCCAATGCAGGGGACGGGTTCGAGCCCTGGCCCGGGAAGATCCCACATGCTGTGGAGCAGCTGAGCCTGTGCACCACAACTACTGAGCCTGCGCTCTAGAGCCCGCGAGCCACAGCTACTGAGCCCATGTGCCACAACTGCTGCGGCCTGCGTGCCTAGAGCCCGTGCTCTGCAACAAGAGAAGCCACGACAGTGAAAAGTCTGGGCACCGCAATGAAGAGTAGCCCTCAGCTCACCACAACTGGAGAAAGCCCGCGCACAGCAACGAAGACCCAACACAGCCAAAATAAACAAATAAATTAATTAATTAAAAAAAAAAAAGGGAGCAGGAAAGTGTATTCTGCCTAGCACGGCTGTTGGCCTGGGGAGAGAACGGAGAGACCTGGTGGCAAATTAGCCCTCATCTGCTTTAATCCATCCCTTATTTACTGGAGTTGCAGGGGGTGGGGACTGTTGACACTGATGTGGCCCAAGCTCGCCCCAGGCCAGAGGCCTCCCCAGGACACCTGATTGGCCCTGGGGGCAGGCTACTCCCAGCAGCTTGAGAGTGGGGGTCACACAGCCCAAGTTCCCTCCCCAGGGTCCTGTGCACCAAGGCCACCCCTCACCACCCCCTCCTGTCTGCTCAGTGATGGTCAGTGCTGCGGCTCATCCAGATACTAGGATTATGAGCCCGAAATAAAAGGGGGCTGGGGAAGACCCTCCCCTCCTGAAGGCACATCGGGCAAAGTACTTTTTTGTTGTCTAACTAAACCAGCAAATAGATCTCAGGCTTCCTTCAAACTACTCAGTCCATCTTGACAATCACCTTTGAGGCCCCACACTTGAGTTTAATGATGGGAGCTGCCTGCAGCATCTCAGGTCCCTGCACCCATCAGGGGCTCGTGGCTGAGGTCTAGATGGTGGTGGATTCCAGGGAACCGAACTTGGGGGTGAGACACTGCCTTGGGACAGAGACCTCCTGTCACCTGACCAAGGTCTCTGGGGCTGGGATGAAGCCACTAAAGGAACTGCAATAATCTCAGGACAGGTGGCAGTTGGGTTTCCTAGTGAAGAGGTCCTCGGGGAGTAGAAGAGCAGGAAGTGAGCCTGGGAAGATGGAATAAAGAAGAGGGGTGTGGGTGAAAAGAAAGCAAACCATGGAGGGAGAGGCAGAGAATCAGGGCTTGGAGGAGAGCATCAAATACCTGCTAATCGGGATCGTGGCCAAGAGGAAATTAGAAACGACCACAGGTCAGGCCAAGAGGATTGACCAGGATTTCTTAAATGAAACTAAGGAACCGCCAGGTCATATCCTTTGGGCCTGCTGAGAACTCATCAGGCCTCCTCCCCCTGCCTGTGGCTCACTCTCTGATTAGCCAGTACCTGGGCTAAGAGAGATGACCCAGCCAACTCACCCTGGAAACCTTAACATCCCTCCAGCCAACAAAGACCCTCTTGGTGGCCCTGCTCCTACCAGGTGCCAAAAAACCCCAAGCCCCACTCACCAAGTTCAGAGAAGGTTAAGAAAAGCAGATTATGCATAAACATTACAGATTAGCATTTCCTGGCTGGGATTCTGAGAAGGAGCCAGGGAAATTAAGCAGTCCCTCCCACGAAGGAGCTTCTCAGGGGGAACACATATGAAAACAATGGGACAGATTCAGGGAGCAATCGGTGAGCACATGCAAAGGATTGTGTGAGGGGTTAACTCCATAACTGCAAGCAGGACAGTCGGGAAAGGGTCAGCCTCCCTGCATCCCCCTCTGGGTCACCTGATAACCATACTCAGGGCTCAGGCATCTGCTGGCAGAGCACCAAGTACCCACCTGTCTGTATGTCCTGAGGCTCCACACTGAGTTCACCCAAAGCTAGGCCGGAGAATTCCTGAGTTCTGGGCCCCCAGCACACCCCTTCTGGCCTGCTGTTGGTCCCCTGGAAAGCTGGGTGCTATACTTCAGGAGCAACTTTACCACTCTCCCAGGCCCCCTTCCCTTCCCAGACACTGTCATCCTCCCCCATGGCTTCAAGTGCCACCTTGGAGTTTCATGACACCTAAACCATCCCGTCAGCCCAGACCTCTCCCCCAGCTCCAGAATTGATTTTCCAACCCAACCGAATGTGGCTGTCCCATAAATCCTCCCACTCAACAGGTCTGATGGCGACTTCATCTCTCCCTTAAGCCTCTCCTCCAACATTCCCCTACTTCAATGAACAGCACCGCCCATGTCGCCTAAAGCCATCCTGCTGAGTCAAATCCCTCCTCTCCACCCCACACCCCCCAAACTCAGGCATCAGGCTCTGACGCTTAGAGAGAACACAGCAGCGTCTTGCCCTCCTTCGCCTATCACCCACTCCGTCACCAGAGCCACAGCCCAAAACAAAAATCCAATCACCAGGGGCTTCCCTGGTGGTGCAGTGGTTGAGAGTCCGCCTGCCGATGCAGGGGACACAGGTTTGTGCCCCGGTCCAGGAGGATCCCACATGCCGCGGAGCGGCTAGGCCTGTGAGCCATGGCCGCTGAGCCTGCGCGTCCGGAGCCTGTGCTCCGCAACGGGAGAGGCCACAGCAGTGAGAGGCCCATGTACTGCAAAAAAAAAAAAAAAAAAAAAATCCAATCACCAAGATGTAACTGAAATGTATAATTCAATCAAACAATTAGACTAAAAGGTGACTTAAGAACATAAATGCAAAAGCATCAGAAGAAAACAGGCAAGGCATAGCCCCCAAACTCACAGCCAGCCTTTTGTTGCATATTAAGAAACCGGGGTGCCTCTGTACAATGCAGTATTGCAACATAGCTTCTATTCACTGAAGACTCTCGATAAAAGATTAGTAACTTTACAAAGTTGGGTGTGGGGGCGGGGGGGGTGGGCAAAATGTTTAAGACAAAGCAGTACCAATAAAAAATTCATTTCTCCCAAGCAGACAAACCCCTTGCTGGGGTTGCAGCAGTAGCAACACAGCTAGTGGGCATGTTTCCCGCTCTGGTTTGCACTGTGGGGCTGCTTTGTGATCTAGACACCAAATCCCACTATGCAGAAAAGCACAATACAAGCCTACTTATTATCTTCAAGATGAAGGAGCAAATATAAAAAGGCAACCAGTTGCAAACTTCCTCACCAACAGCCGAGGATGGAAGAGGCTGTCAGAATCTAGAGTTTTTCTATCTACCTGGCCTTAAAAAACCAGGAATTAGACACCCTGGCTTGACAGCAGCACAGGATAAAAACTTAGAATAGTTGTCTAAAGCCTAGTCCTTGCTACCTACCTGATCTTCAGCAGGCACCGAGCCCCTGACTACTTGCCTGGTCTGTTTTCTCACTACCTAGCTACAGCAGCATCACACTCGAGTTGCTCCCTCTTCCTGGCATGCCT